TTTATAAAAAAAAATTTAATAATTTTGAACTGCTATTATAATAGCAACTTATAAAGAACATTGTATTGAACTATCAAATTTTTTGATAGAGCAAAAAGATTAAACAACTAAAATAAAATGAATGAAAATATAAAATATAAAATGTCTTTAAATTGATTAAAAAATGTGTATTATGGATAGAATTGCTAATATAAATATTTGGTAAAAATTTAACATGTACAGTGATAAGTTTATGAATTACAATTAAATATCAAAAATTGATTGATGGGAATAGATTAATTTACACATGAATATCTAATGTTCCTAAAATAATAMAATTTTACTTGAATTTCTAACTAAAAAATAACTTTTAATCCAACGAATAAAATTGTATTGACTTTAATAGAATACAAAACTAAAAACATTGAAAATTGCAATTGTCTATAAATAACTTTAAACATTTGATGAMAATTTTAATTATCTACAGTTAATAAACAGAATAAGAAAATATTAATGTGTGAGAATTTACAGGTGAATATCCAATTTCTAACTATAAACACTCGTAAAAAATTAATTTAACTTTATATTAAATTTTTTTTTGTTAAGTATTGAAAACTTGAGGAGAATCTTGGGTTATAACACAGAACATTTCTATGGATTCGATGGCTCACAAATGTTGTCAAAATTCTAACATCAGACAATCATACAAAAAATTAAAGTAGATTTAAGCTTAACTTTTTTTACACTATTAACAACTTATACGGAACCTTAATTACATTTTCAACTTTATTTTACATAATAATTAAAATTGTTTTAATGAAAGTCGATCATTTAAAATTGACTCAATGTATGTATGTATAACTAATGTTGGTGWGYGAAGCGAATCTATAGATTGTACTTCTTTCTTATATTTTAAGTCTCCGGTAAGTTTAAGTATAATATTTTAAGTTTATGATTTAAAMTAGTTTGTAGGATTTATTGTTGGGAACAATCAGAGCATATTTTAAATAATGTTTACTGGGTGGAATTAGAGCTACATACTTTGTATAGTATGTTAAAATATGCTCTGGGACTAATATTGAGCTCTTACAAAAAAATAGGAAAATTGTGATTAAAAAATCTTAACAAGGCGAGAATAATTTAATAAACAGTATAGACTAAATTACTTTGGCATTCAAAAACATTTTACATACCTTTTATAAAAATGATACGAGATAATTGTACCAAATAGTATGTTAGAAACTCGTCGATGAAACCAAGAAAGTACTTTAGTACGAATAAAAGGCCGACTACAGCTTCATCTTTGATACATATTATTAAATGAATTAACGAGTCGCAATGATTTTAAGCTCAAGTTCTGAGTATTGTGAATGGTATTGTATTTATATAATTAACACTTAAATTATTATGCTTTCGACGGGTGTTTACTATTTACTGCTATTGTATGAAGAATGATGATAACTGATAAGTGATAACAAAACAAAAGTCGATGGTATCACAGAATATATGAAATCGGAATGGACACCTCGGCCGCCCGAAAAACAGTTCGCCATATTGAATGCAAGCACYAGTATGACCACGAACGAAATATTAATGTATTTTTAATTTTATGTTGCATATGGTGACACTGTTKTGACGATATTTATTATCTGTGATATCACATTCTGATTAACTAATAACTATTTATTTTACCACCGTTGTCGTGTATGGAAGTCACGTGATTTCGTTGTTTTGAAAATTGTGACTGAACACTGAAATTTAAAAATTTTCAAGTTTCGTTTATTCTTATAACTGTGTTGTGTTTTTTTTTAAATTTTGCATAATGGAGTTTTTTGTTGGTAAAAGGAACAAACAGTATTCAAAATGTTGCTTGACTAATTGTAAAAGCCACATTTTATAGATACCATAAGTTTTTTCACTTTCCCAAAAGAACCTGTTAGGTAAGTAATATCTTTGTTGATATCTATTTAGATTTTATTTGATTATTTCCTGTTTTGAATTACCGAAGTTAATTGTTCATTAATATCTTTATATAATATAATCTTTCGACTTTTTTATTAATATMAAACMACAGTTACCTACCTATCATACATTTTATTTTTAGCTGATTTTTGAAATAATAAATTACACATTCCAAGTGCATATGTATTGACATATTGTAACCATTAATTCTAGTTTGAACATGCACATTATATTATATATTAATTTAATCCTTAGGTCATATTGCAATTGTTATCCAATTTTAAAATGACTTATTATAATTTGYTGTTATTAATTATATTTACAATAACATTATAGATGTGCTGTTTGGATTGAAAATTGCAAATCTAAAATCAATCAATAATTTGGCTGCTAACACTAAGTATCGTGTTTGTTCTTTACATTTTGAGACTGTTATGTTTTCTAATTTTCAGAAAAATAGACTGAGGCCGGATGCTGTACCTACATTGTTTGATGTTATGGAAGTTGAGTGTGTGGATGAACCAAAGAAGAATGATGCTCCTGAATGTATCACTTCAGACTTTGTGCCATTATCATGTTCAACACCTGGTATGCCTTGTAAAATATGTTATTGTAAATGCAATATAATTCTCACTTATCCCTGGTTGCCCTAAGAGGATGTTATACCCACATGTGTTTCTCCGTCTGAAAAGAGTGTAACATACAAGCGCCCTCTACAGCCATTATTATTGMTGAACTCTTATACMACGTTACCATACTAATAATCATTACACAATAATTAACAAATAAATAAATATAATTCATTAATTTATTCCAAAATATGATAATTATTTCATGGAATCTTAAAAAAGCAAGAGACTTTTAAACATTGATGTTGTACATTAAATATACATTATAGAGGCGCCGGTGTGACACGACTTTCTTTTAATTCTTGAAAAAAACATCCAGAGCTATCCATATTTATACTTGTGCAATCATACTACCTATATTCGTGGGGATTATTAACAACTTGCATGGAATTGTATATTTTAATTTTTACAGGTTCCTCTGCTCATCTATCAATAAACTCTCCAAGTTTATCTGATGCATCAACATCCACTGATATTGAAACAAGTGTAWTCGGTGTACAAACACCTAGTTATTTATCTTTAAAAACTCCCCGAAAAGTTGCTCTTCAGAAAAAGCTCAAGGAAAGTCACGGGTTCAGGCTGAGTTGAAACAAGTTATTATAAATTTGAATCGACAATAGCAAAACAAACCTAACAATAAATTGGATACTTGCCTGGAAACATGTAAAGAATACTTGTCACCTACCCTCTTTATGATTGTTAGATCTCAAATCAAGAACAAGCAAAAAAATTATCGAGGATTCTGGTATTCTAATGAAATTAAGCAACTTGCTTTAAGTATTTATTTTCTAGGTCCAAGAGTCTACAATTTATTGCAAAATCTTCTATCCCTTCCTACTAGTCGAACACTTAGAMGAGTAACTTCAAAATAYGAGATAAATCCTGGTCTAAATGAATTTCTTTTTAATTTTGTTTCATTTAAAATTAGTAGTTTTAAACCCGAAGCTCTAGATTGTGTACCTTGTGCCGATGAAATGGCTTTAAAAACAAATTTATTTTATAATGGCTCTAAAGACAAAATTATTGGTTTTCATGAATCCAATTCTCGTAAGAAGTATGAAGCTGCCAAGTATGCTTTAGTCCTTATGCTCAGAGGCATAAATGAAAATTGGAAACAACCAATTGCTTATTTTCTTGTTTCAAGTAGCTGTACTGGTACTGATCTAAAATACATAATTATGTCAACAATTTGTTAAAATATTAAACTTAATATCAAAGCTTTTGTAACTGATCAAGGCACAAATTTTGTAAGTTTTTCTAAAAGCTTTTATGTTTCTTCTAACAAGCCATATTTTGAAGCAGACGGGAAAAAATTTTTTACATTTTTGACCCACCTCATCTTTTGAAATCTACTCAGAACATGTTTTTTAAACATGACTTTATAATTGATGATTCAATAATAGCCCATATTGATTCTTTTTACAATTATGACTCTGAAAATAATCTTCGCTTGGCTCCAAAATTAAAACATGCACACATTCGTCCAGGACCATTTGAAAAAATGAGAGTTTATTTAGCTGCCCAAATTTTCAGTAATACTGTTGCTTCTGGTATGTCAACGACTTTGAAGTCTGGTATTTTGCCGCTAAGCGCTCGATTCACTATTGATTTCATCAGTGATATGGACAAATTATTTGACATATTCAATTCTTTTAAAGCACCAAATCTCCAGGAATTTAATAGACCATTTAAAAATACTGAATCACAAATTAATCATCTAAATAAAATTGCTGATGTTTTTAGGAACATAAAAGTTATTAATAAATTTAATGGATCAAATATTACTAACAAGATGAATTTCATTAATGGTTGGTTAATTTCAATATCTTCATTAAAAATACTGTGGTATTCCTTAAATCCAACTAAAGATACACATTATGTTCTTTATACTAGGTGCCTAAATCAAGATAGTTTAGAAAATTTATTTTGTTATTTCCGCCAACAGCATGGAAACAATTTAAATCCTACGCCAATTGAGTTTTCTAGGTCATTAAAAAAATTTTTTTGTGCTAATTATTTCAAACATTCCCCAGGTGCAAATTGTATTGAAGATTTAGATGAAATTTTAGGTTCATATCTACCACAATCAGATAAAATTCTTAATTTTTAAGGATCTGAAAAAAATCTTTATAAATGTATTAGTATTGGTACAGTTGATTATAGACAACTTGACATTCCAGAACAGAATGCATTAACTTACATTTGTGGTTATTTAATGAGAAAATGCTTAGAAAAACATACTTGTCAGGTTTGTACAGATTATGCATATTATCAAAAAGAGTTGAATCAGACATTTCTTTTGAGTTTTTACAAAGCATTTGAATGAGACCATAAATTTTAAATTCATATTATCTGAGTATTTCTTTTAAATTAAATTTCTGTCAAGTAGTTATAAGTATTGTTAGGATGAGAGGAATAGTGAACGGACATTTTGAGGTGTACCCCTGTACCACTATTCTCCTCATCAAAATACTTATAACTACTTGATAGAAATTTGATTTAAAAAAAACGAAATACTCAGTGAATATAAATTTGAAAACATATGGTMTCATTCAATAAAGTAAAAAAAAATAAAATAATGACTAAAATTTTAAATAGTATTTTAAGAAATTTTTAAGAACTTTCTGAAATAATGAGTATGGACACAATAATTGTATCATTCTATATTTAGTTATTTTTTTTAACAATAAATTCGTGATATTTTAGACATAAAGAAGATAAACAATTGTATTTTCAAAATATATTATTTTATTTATTGTATCCAATTTTGAAATAAAAACTAAACTATTCTTATTAAATTATTTGTTTACTCTTTGTATTGCTTAGTTATTAAATAAAGAATTACTCAATGATAAAT